CGTGCTGCGTGCACTCTGCCCGCCCAGTGCGTGCACACGTGCTGCGTGCACTCTGCCCGTCCAGTGCATGCACACGTGCTGCTGCGTGCACTCTGCCCGTCCAGCGCGTGCACACGTGCTGCTGCGTGCACTCTGCCTGTGCACACGTGCTGCGTGCACTCTGCCCGCCCAGTGTGTGCAAACATGCTGCATGCATTCTGCTTTCCCAGTGTGTGTGCACAAGCTGCATGCACTCTGCCTTTCCAGTATGTGTGCACCCTGCCTGCTGATGTGTGTGCATGCTGCATGCACTCTCCCTACCAGTGTGGGTCCCTGCAGTGGAGTCCTTTGCTGTGTACCTCTGCCTGGTGACAAGCACAGAAGAGGAGCTGCACACAAACACTCTAAGCTAGCACTAGAAGGAGAGACAAGGGAAATAACTGTGGACATGGAGAGGAGCCAGACTGTGTGAAGAGCCCTGGCTCAAAACCTGGTGCCCACAGGTTACATACCCTCCTCTCAAGCTGAGTGCTCCATTTCTAGCCCATGGCAGGACAGGAGCTCCAAGGCAGATGTCCCTTGAGGCGAGGTAGGCGGAGTCATCAGAGATGACTGACCATGGGCCCTGTCCACACAGGTCTGGACAACACTTTCTTTGCCAGGCCAGGCCTCTGGAAGTCAGAGGACTCTCCACAGATAGGTGAGTGAGACCAAGGCCACCATTCCCTGCTGCCTGGAGTACCCAGGTCCAGTGTACACAAGGGAGGGTCCAGTCCCCAGGCCACCCCCCAGACAGACACACACACACATGTGCGCACACACAAACACACACACGGGTACAGATGCTGTACAGCCTGGGTACCTATCTCTGGGGTTTCCATGAGAAGGATTCTCTTAGAGAAGAGCCACACTCCAATGTGCACTAAGGGCCCCTGCCCAGGGAGACAAGTGACCTGCTGCCTGGCCCAGCCCTGCTGAAGTGGGGGACCCCGGGCTAGAGCTCCATGTCCTACAACACTGGAGCAGACAATGCTACAGGCCCCAACAACAAGGCAGCCTGGGCTCCCCCAAAGGTATATTCACTCTGCCAGGGGGTGTGGGGCCAGGGGGCTGGGAATAACCCAGCACATGATCCCGGGGCCTAGCCTGGCCCTGCCTGCTCAGCGGGCATAGGGGTCTAAGTCTGTGCCACTCTCCACAGACCCGGATAAGGGCTGGTGCTCCACATGGGGTACTGGCCACTTTTCCACTTTCGACCACCATGTATATGACTTCTTGGGAACATGCAACTATGTCTTCACGGCCACCTGCAAGGACGCCTCCCCCACCTTCAGTGTCCAGCTACGGCGAGGGCTGGATGGGAACATTTCCCGGATCATCATGGAGCTGGGGGCCTCTGTCATTACTGTGAGCAAGGCGACCATCTCAGTCAAGGACATCGGGTAGGCCAGGTGGGCCGGATAGACAACCAGGGACCAAGGGGGCGAGGGACAGCCACTCACTGCTCTGTCCCACAGGGTCATCAGCCTTCCCCACACCAGCAATGGGCTCCAGATCACGCCCTTCGGCCAGAGTGTGCGACTGGTGGCCAAGCAGCTGGAGCTGGAGCTGGAAGTTCTGTGGAGCCCAGATGCCCACCTCACGGTGCGCTACCCCCCATGGGAGCCCCAGCAAGGCCCAGCCCCTGCTGCAGGCCTAACCTGCAGACAGCCCAACCTCAAAGCAGTGCTGACCCTTGGCTGCCATCCTGGGCCAGGGCTGACTAGGCTCTGTTGGTCATTCAGCTTTTCCACTTGAACACAGGGCGATGTGCCAAGAAAAGGGGGCACTGAGGAGGAGCAGGGAGAGTGGACAGCAGGGGCTCTGGGCCTGGGAGGTCTAGGCCAGGGATCAGGAGTGAGCAGCCTTGACAGTGTAGTGTAGGGACCCCTGCCCCAACACCCAACAGTGCCACTCCACCCACAGGTCCTAGTGGAGAGGAAGTACATGGGCCGCATGTGTGGGCTGTGCGGGAACTTTGATGGGAAGACAGCCAACGAGTTTCTGAGTGAGGAAGGTAGGTAGGACAGGGCAGGGTGGGGAGGCCCCAGCTCCTCTGTGGCCAGGAACCCTGGTGCTGCCACTCCCCATCCTGCATCCCTAGGCAAACTCCTGGAACCCCATAAGTATGCTGCCCTGCAGAAGCTGGATGACCCCAATGAGATCTGTGCTTATGAGGCCGTCCCCAGGCCCCCTGTCTGGCAGACTAAGCATGTACGTGAGCTGGCTGGGCTACCAGGGGCCATAGTGGGGAGACTCGAAGGGTCTAACAAGATCTCTAGGCTAATAGGGCCCCACAATCACAGATAGCCCCTGCTCAGGTGATGGCATGGTGTGGTGTGATGTGTAGCCTTGACCTCCATGACCCTGAGTGGCCCTCTGCCAGGCCCAGATCTGCACCCAACTGCTGGCCCTGGTGTCCCCTGAGTGCAACGTGCCCAAGAGCCCATTTGTGCTGAGCTGCCAGGCTGATATGGCCACAGCCACCCAGCCAGGACAGCAGGACAGCAAATGTGCCACGCTGTCAGAGTACTCCCGCCAGTGCAGCATGGCTGGTCAGCCTGTCCGCAGTTGGCGGCGCCCTGGACTCTGCGGTGAGTCTCTAGAAGGGGAAAAGGTGCGAGAAGTTGAAGGCCCAGACCCAGGCCTCCCAGCGCCCCAACCTGATGTGCTGCCCACATCCACCCTCATCCATGAGGGAGGACACCCTGGCACTTGTGGGAGGCAGAGGGCTGGGCTAAGTCCTGGGCCTCCATGGGGCAGGGGCAGGGCCCTCACTGAAGCTGCATGTGCCACAGCCGTGGGCCCATGCCCAGCCGGCCAGGTGTACCAGGAGTGTGGCTCGGCCTGCGTCCGGACCTGCTCCAACCCTCAGCACCACTGCTCCAGCTTCTGCACCTTTGGCTGCTTCTGCCCAGAAGGTGAGGTTTGGCCAGCACCCACCCTGCTCCACTGACCAGCTCATCTCAGACAATGCTGGGCAGGGGTTGGGATAGAGTCCTGCCACAAATTCTCAGACTTCAGGGCCCACGACCACACACAAAATCCCATGGGAGAGTGAGGCTGTCGAGGACATATAAGTCTGCTACAGCAGCCAGACTGTCCACCAGGGCCCAGAGCTGCCAGAAAGAGGGGGGTCGTAGCTGACTTGAGGAACGTTACATGTCCACGTCACCTGCCAGGGCTGCCCCTCACAGGGAGGGTGGCTGGGCCTGGGCACTTGGTGTGAGGGGTGACCCACGCAGGGCGTGGCATGGCAGCTACATATACAGACAGGGGCCAGAATGAGAAGTCCTGCACAGGCTCAAGAGGGCTGCCCATAAGGTGCTTGGAGGGGCCGGTCCCACTGAGCTCAGGAAACCACTCCCACAGGTACGGTCCTCAACGACCTGTCCACAAACCATACCTGCGTGCCAGTCACCCAGTGCCCCTGCGTGCTCAATGGAGCCATCTATGCCCCTGGGGACATCACCACCACTGCCTGCCGCACCTGGTGAGTGGGGGGGGGACCTTAGCCCTATGGGGAAGGGGGATTCCAGGCCAGGGGCACCATCCACCCCTGGGTCATCCCCATCCCCCTGCAGCCAGTGCACCTCAGCCCGCTGGACATGCACAGAGCACCCGTGCCCTGGTCATTGCTCCTTGGAAGGTGGCTCCTTTGTCACGACCTTTGACGCCAGACCCTACCGCTTCCACGGCAGCTGCACCTACATCCTTCTCCAGGTAGGCAGAGCTCCCAGGCTGGCAGGGAGGATGTATCCTCACTCCCCATAGCCTGAGCCACCCCTCCACTCCCCAGAGTCCCCAGCTCCCCGATGAGGGCACCCTCATGGCTGTATATGACAAGTCCGGGTACTCACATTCAGAGACCTCCCTGGCCGCAGTCATCTACCTGTCCAAGCAGGTAAGGCTGCCATGCACTGTCCCAAGGCTCCTGCCAACAGGGCCCTGCCTCCTCCACCCAGCCCCTGACTCAAGCCACTCTTCTCCAGGTCAAAATCGTGATCTCCCAGGATGGGGTGATCACCAACAATGAAGATCCCAAGTGGCTGCCATACCAGATTCGTATGTCCTCAGCAGCCGGGCCCTGGGTGTGGCAGGCAGCAGGGGGCGGGGGCAGGGGCAGTAGCCTTTAAGAAGGGGCAAGGGTATGAGAAGCTGAAGGCCCAGACCCAGGTCTCTCAGCTCCCCAAGCTGATACGATAGGAAGGTGTGGCCCCTGAGTGCTATGTCCCCACAGGCAACATCACAGTCTTCAGGCAGACGTCCACCCACCTCCAGATGGCCACTACCTTTGGGCTAGAGCTTGTGATCCAACTACAGCCCATCTTCCAGGTGTATGTCACCGTTGGGTCCAAATTCAGAGGCCACACCAGAGGTGAGCCCTGCCCTACTGGTCAGCCCCACTGGACCCAGCCTTGACCGGAAAGGAGAAAGGGCCCAAGAGAGGCTCAGGTGGACCCTCTATATCTAGGGAGCCCCCAGGAATATGGTGTGTGGGGCCAGCAGTGGCCTCTCACCTGGGTCTCAGTTAGAGGGAGGACAGGAGCTATGGGACAGGAGTGGGCAGAGATAGGGCTGGCCTGGGCCACCCTCACAGCCTGGCCTGCTCAGGGCTATGCGGCAACTTCAACGGGGACACAACTGATGACTTCATGACCAGTGTGGGCATCGCTGAGGGCACTGCCTCACTCTTTGTGGATTCCTGGAGGGCAGGGAACTGCCCAGCTGCACTGGAGCGAGAGACTGACCCCTGCTCTATGAGCCAGCTCAACAGTGAGTGGTGGCCCACCCTGCTGCAGGCCCAGCCAGTGTGCGTCCCTGGGAGGGGTGTGGCTGCAATGGGGAAGGGACACTGACAGCCAGGACTGTTGTCCCCAGAGGTGTGCGCAGAGACCCACTGCTCGGTGCTGCTGAGGAAGGGTACAGTATTTGAGAGGTGTCATGCCACAGTGAACCCCGCACCATTCTACAAGGTAGGGACCTGTGGGGGCATGGGGAGGGGAGCAGTAGAGGCCAGAGCAACTGACACCTGAGGGCACCTGAGGGCATCCTGGAAGGTCTGGGGCCACACATCCTTGGGGGCAGGGGCCCCTCAGCCAGCCCACAGCCAGTGCTCTGCTGCAGAGATGCGTGTATGAAGCCTGCAACTATGAGGAGACCTTCCCCCACATCTGCGCCACACTGGGCAGCTACGCACATGCATGCTCCTCGCAGGGCATCCTGCTCTGGGGCTGGAGGAGCAGTGTGGACAACTGCAGTGAGTGCCTGGGGGGTGCAGGCAGGGTCCCAGGGCAGCACAGGCTCCTCCCCTGCCACCCCCAGGGTCCTGACTCCCGGGTTCCCCCGCAGCCATCCCTTGCTCTGGCAACCGCACATTCAGCTACGACAGCCGGGCTTGCGGCCGTACCTGCCTATCGCTGTCGGACCGTGCTGTGGAATGCCAGCCCAGTGCTGTGCCTGTGGACGGCTGCAACTGCCCCGAGGGCACCTACCTGAACCACAGGGGCGAGTGCGTGCGCAGGGCCCAGTGCCCCTGTGTGCTGGAGGGTGGCAGGCTCATCCCAGCCGGGCAGTCTACGGTCATCGACAGCGTGGCCTGGTGAGGGGGCAAGGGACAGCGTTGGGGGGTGCAGCCCCCAGCAGGAGGGCACAGGGCTCACTGTGTCTCTCCCCTGTAGCCATTGCACAGGTGGGCGGCTGAGCTGCCCTGGGCGGCCACAAATGTTCTTCGGTAAGTACCAGGCACGGGCTGGCAGGGCAGGATGGGAGGCAGCCTTGGGCCCACATGATTCACTCCCCGTCTTCCCCCCTAGCTTCCTGCTCAGCTCTCAAGACATTTCAGTCCTGCAGCCAGTCCTCGGAAAACAAATTTGGAGCTGCATGCGCCCCCACATGCCAGCTGCTGGCCACAGGCACACCCTGTGTAAGGGCACCTGCAGCACTGTGAGGGGACTGCCTGGCCAGGGTGTACCTGGGGGGAGCCCAGAGGGGCAGAGCAGGGGAGTAGGGGTGCAAGAGAAATGCCAGGGTCTCAGAAGCACCCAGGACTGGGGGCAGTGGCAACTGAGGCTGCCCTCCTTGCAGGTGCCCACCAAGTGTGAGCCTGGCTGCGTCTGTGCAGAGGGGCTCTATGAGAATGCCAGTGGGCAGTGTGTGCCCCCCGAGGAGTGCCCATGTGAGTTTGCAGGCACCTCCTACCCAGGAGGGGCCAAGCTCCACACTGACTGCAGGACCTGGTGAGCCAAAACCCCATCCCAGAGACCCTGAGCCATCCCAGGGCCATCTGTGATAGGCAAGGAGCCCTGAGCCCAGAGGGTGGGAGCCCTGAATGTGGGGGGCCCTGTGAGTTGGGAGCCCTGGATGTGGGGAGCCTCCGGGTTGGGGAGCCCTGGATGTGGGGAACACTGTGGGTGGGAAGCTCTGGACTTGGGGAGCCCTAGAGAGGAGGAGCCTTGTGGGTTCAGAGCTCTATGGGTTTGAGCCCTGGATGTGGGGAAACCTTAACGTGGGGAGCCCTGGGCATGGGGAGCCCTGGGCATGGGGAGCTCTGGAGGTGCAGATGTTCCCCTAGGAAACCCAGGGGCCAACGCCCAGAATGGGGGAGGGCTGTAGGCCCCATACACACCCACCGGTCCCTGCAGTACCTGCTCAAGGGGAAAGTGGACATGCCAGCAGAGCCTCCACTGCCCATCCACCTGTGCCCTCTACGGGGAGGGCCACGTGGTCACTTTTGATGGCCAGCGCTTTGTGTTTGACGGCAACTGCGAGTACATCCTGGCCACGGTAATCTCCGGGGCTGTGGGGAGCCAAGGACCAGAGGGGCCAGCCCCCAGGGCTCCTCCTCAACACCCCTTCCCTGCAGGACGGCTGTGGCACCAACGACTCTCAGCCCACCTTCAAAATCCTGACAGAGAATGTCATCTGTGGGAGGTCGGGGGTCACATGCTCCCGGGCTATCAAGATCTTTTCAGGGGTGAGCAGTGGGGCAGAGCCTTACAGGGCAGGAAGGGTAGAAGAGCCCACCCCACTGGCCCCACATGATGGAACATGAGGGAGGGATACCTGCTCCCCTTTCTGGCTTGACGCCCAGGACTAGTGGCTGCTGGACCTGCCCCAAGCAGGGAGCAAGGCACCTGGGAAGCCTGAGCCTCAGCTCTGTTTCTGTGTACACCAGAACCTTCTGCCCAGAGCTGGCTCTCAGCAGGTGGCCTAGGAGACTGCAGGGGGATAGGCAGCCCTGTGATGGCCCTACTCCACAGGGCCTGTCCATTGTGTTGGCGGACAGCAACTACACAGTCACGGGGGAAGACCCCCGTGTGCATCTGCGTGTGAAGCCCAGCTCCCTGAACCTCATTCTGGACATCAGCATCCCAGGAAGGTACAGCCTGACTCTCATCTGGAACAAGCACATGACCATCTTCATCAAGATTGACCGTGCCTCCCAGGTATCTGCCACCCCAGGGCCCCAGGTGGTCTCGGGTGGGGCAGATGCCTGCAGCCCACAGACCCCCCCCTGACACCGATACCCACTTGCAGGACCCCCTCTGTGGCTTGTGTGGCAACTACAATGGGAACATGAAGGATGACTTTGAGACGCGCAGCAAATACGTGGCCGCCAACGAGCTGGAGTTTGTGAACTCATGGAAGGAGAGCCCCCTGTGTGGGGATGTGAGCTTCCTGGCAGAGCCCTGCAGCCTCAACGCCTTTCGCCGTTCCTGGGCGGAGCGCAAGTGCAGCATCATCAACAGTCAGACCTTTGCCGCCTGCCACAGCAAGGTGGGCCCCAGATCAAGGGTCCCTGATTGTGGGAGTGCAGCTGCCAGCAAGCAGGGGTGTCAGGCCATGCTCCAGCCTAGGTGGGGAAGCAGGAGGAGGGTCTCCCACAGCAGGGCCACAGACTGGTCAGGGACCAAGTGGGCCAGAGAGGTCCAGACCCACTGCTGGAAAGGAGGGTCCTCCACCACATTCTGGGCACCGTGGGGTGTTTGGCAGCTCTGCAGCCTCACTCTGGAAATGCTCTGGGTGGTTCAAGTACCTGGGAGCTGAGTGGTTATGGAGGAGGTACAAGGATGGCATGGGACCTCCCCAGGGCTGTGAGGACTGGGGAGGAGGGAGCGCCAGCCAGTGCTGAGGCCCTGTGGGGGCCACTGGGATGCAGCACGGAGGTGTGGAGGGGCTGGTGTGCAGGCCAGAGGGGCTGCGGTGTGGCCTGCATGCCTGGCCCCACTGGAGGTCTTGAGGCAGGAGGGAGGGATGCCACATGCACACACTCAGAGGGGTCCAGGCACTGAGCCCCCACACCAGCCTCTGTCCAAGCCTCACCACACATCCAATCCCTGGGGCCACAAAGCCTGGCACCTGGCCATCACAGGGAGGCCAAATACTAACTGGCAGCCATCCCACAGGTGTACCACTTGCCCTACTATGAGGCTTGTGTGCGTGATGCATGTGGGTGCGACACGGGCGGGGACTGTGAGTGTCTATGCGACACCGTGGCTGCCTATGCAAAAGCCTGCTTGGATAAGGGCGTGTGCGTGGATTGGAGGACTCCCGCTTTCTGTCGTGAGTGACCCTACCCACCCACTACCCCACCCTCCAGGTGGCCACTGACGGTGGCCGCAGGGCTGCTCTAGTTCCTGCACCCAGCCCTGGAGGGAGGCTGCCAGAAGAACTCGAGACTTCTGTGCACATGTCTGCCCCATTCTGCGTCCTGAGTCAGGGCAGGGCCCCCGACTGATGGTGCCCTTCCTCCCAGCCATCTACTGTGACTTCTACAACACCCACACGCAAGTAGGCGGCAGCGGGGAGCTCCAGCACACACAGGAGGCCAACTGCACGTGGCACTACCAGCCCTGCCTATGCCCCGGCCAGCCAGAGAGCCTCCTGGACACCAACATCGAAGGTATCAGCAGTTGGGATGCGGCACAGGACAGCGAGGGAGACTCGTTCATTCATGCACATGTGTGCATTCATCCGGCAGTGTGTCCTGAGCACCTCTGTGCTCCAGGCCTGGTTCTGACTTAGGGACATGGTCTTACACAAAACAAACCACCCTGGCCTCCAACAGCTTCTCTTCTGGACAGGGGGAGATGCTTGAAAACAAAATAAGGAAGCAGAAAGCATGGTCAGGCAACCATAAGGGCAGAGCCAGGCAGGTGGGGGTGTGGGAGAGCAGGGCATCTGCAGCATGGAACCAGCAGGTCAGCCTTGGGGTGAGGAGGTAAGGAAGGTGGTGGTGCCCTTGTGAGGCCCGTGGTGGGCCCCCTGCTACGAGGCACGCTTCCTGGGGTTAAGAAGTTGGATGGCAATGAGGTGGAGGGCCAGCACAGGGGCAGGGAGGCTGCGAGGTAGCATGCAATGGCCAGACTGGGGAGGCCTGCGCATGGCACTGGCTCCTGAAGAGGGAAGGGCCAGCACCTGCAGCCTGCAGTGTTTGTAGAAAACAGTGTAGGTGTCTGGATGGGGAGGTGCCCCTACTGGCATGCAAGAAACAGAGGAGGGTCCCATGTTGGATTCATGCCAGAGAAGCAGAAGAGAACAGTGGGGCCCAAGCCTGAGGGAGCTTGGCTGGGAAGAGGGGCCAGTGAGGGTGCTGTGGCTGAGGTGTCTACCTTGAGTGTAATGGGTAAGACAGGGTGGGCAGAGCGCCAGCTGAGACTGGCTGTCCCCACCCTAGGCTGCTACAATTGCTCCCAAGACGAGTACTTCGACCACAAGCGTGGATCATGTGTGCCCTGCGGTGAGTCTGGTCAGCTGCCCCTGCCAGGCCCACAAGGCAGCCTGAGCTCCTGGGACCTCAGGGTGACCCCATCTCCATCCTAGGCCTGTCATGCCCCCTGACCCAGGCTGAGGGGTAAACACAGTGGGAGCCTTCCCAGAAAGGAAGGGGCACAGCAGCCTGTCTGCTGCTGGCACCCAGCCCCCAGCCCTGCCTTCAGTGGGCATTTCTGGTGCAGGTTCCCTGGGACAGGGAGGTTGCATGGGCCTGGGTAACTGACTGACCTTCCGTCCTCTTACAGTGCCGCCCACCACACCGTGGCCACCCACCACAGGTGACTGCACACGCTCTAGGTGCCAAGGTGACAGCCCGGCAGGAGCCCAGCCTCTGCCTGTGGGTGGGGGCGGGTGTGAACAGCCCTGTGCTGTCTCTTGGTCTGGCCCAGAAGTCAGAGGTGGGGGCCAGGCCTGACTTAGCTCCTGGCTGATCCCCAGCTTGCTCCATGGCCCTCACTGAATGTGCCACAGAGTACAAAGTGGGGCCTTGACCAAGAAGGCCAACCATGAGGGAGCCTGGCAGAAGCCCATGCTGCCCTCTGGGGCCATAGACCAGCTATCCCTATGTGCACAACTGCCAGCACATCCAGCCCAGGGTCCTGCAAGGCTTTGGAGCTCAGAGAGCAGGAGAGGAGAGTCCCCTAAACCGTGGGCAGGTGCTCCTCTGCCCACCCAAATGACACATGCCCCACCCAGGCTCTCCACCCACTGAAGTCCAGCCCACCACAGTAACCCACAGCACCATTGGACATCGCAGCACCCCTGAGCCCTGGCCAAGCCCCACCCAGACACCCCAGCTTCTGACCACAAGGCCCTCGGGCCTTTCCACCAAGTCCACGGTCTCCTCAAGCTCCATGGAAGGTAACTCATCTCCAGCTCAGCCCCCAGATGACTGCTTGAAGGAGGGGTCTGGGGCGGGGCAGGGCAGAGACATTCCTGTGGAGCATCTGAATTTCCAATGTTCCGAGCAAAGCTGGAGACTTCTCGGAAAAAGGTTTTTTTTTTTTTATTTTTTTTATTTTTTGAGACAGAGCCTCAAGCTGTCCCCCTGGGCAGAGTGCCGTGGCATTACATCTCACAGCAACCTCCAACTCCTGGGCTCAAGCGAGTCTCCTGCCTCCGCCTCCCAAGTAGCTGGGACCACAGGTGCTGGCCACAATGCCCGGCTATTTTTTGGTTGCAGCCGTCATTGTTGTTTGGCGGGTCCGGGCTGGGGATTCGAACCCGCCACCTTAGGTGTACGTGGCTGGCGCCTTAGCCGGCTGAGCTATAGGCGCCGAGCCTCGGAAAAAGGTTTGACACAATGACCATGAGTGTGGCCACTCCTCACTCTCTGACATGGGATTGGCAGGTTGGGGCCTGGGCCTCCCTGTACCTGGCCATAGGCCCCTGCAGCACCCTCCATGCCAGGGATCCTAGAGGTTCTCATAAGAGCAAAGGGGGACAGAGGGGTGGCCAGCAGCCCACATGTGCACCAGGCCACTGGTCCAGGACCGAGGCCACCGCAGCCAGGCAGACTGTGGGAGGCCATGGGAAATGTAAGAGGAGCTATCCCCAAGGACAGTGAATCCAGAACAACAACAAAAACGTCCCTGGAATATGGAAGAAGTTATAAACCTCAGACATAAGCCTGGGGAAATGCAGACAGAGCCATAGCAGTGTTCTTGGGGGGTGTCTACTGCAGAGTCTCCCAGAACCACCACGGTTGTCACCCCACGCACAACAGTGCCAGCACCGACAGCAACAAGACCCACGATGACTCAGGCCAACACCCAGCCCACAGCATCCTCTCTAAGTCCAGCCACAAAGTTGACGGCTCAGTCCACAGTGTGGACAACAGTGCCACCTGAAACCTCAGCAGTATCAGGGACCAGCCCAAGGATAGGTGAGTCACAGGGCTGTGGGGTAGCAGAGGACACAGAGCACAGGGCCCACCACCAGGCCTCACCCAGGCCAGAAGGCAGACCTTGCGTTTCGCAAATGGCAGAAGCAGCAGAAGGAGCACCAGGAAAGCTGACACACACAGGCCAGAGGGACCAAAGAGGCCAGGCAGGGACACACTCCTGAGATGGAAAGGGGGATGCAAGCCAGTTACCAGCCGCAGGTGCACAGAGACGCTGAGAACAGAAAGGACACCAGGAAAGCCTAAGAACAGACTGTCAGCACCAAGAATGGCCACAGCATGTCCCCAACAGTATAGAAAAGCATGAGGTCAGCCAGGGCCTAAATAAGTGAGGAACCCAAGGGCAAAATGAGGACCGAGGGGGGCTGACAATGACACCTGTCCACCCCCCACACAGAGTCCACCAACCAGGCATCAACAGGCCCAACTGCGAACCAGACACCAGATAACACGGGGCCAGCAACGACCTCAAAGACCACCAGAGGGATCACCACACATCCAGGCCAGACAAGTCCCCCGGAAACATGGACGCAAACATCTCAGACACTTAACCCAGAATATTCAACACGCTACCATCCCACAATCTCTGTAACCTCCACTACACAAAGCACGAAGACAACCACTGGACCGTACTTCAAGACCACCAGCAACACTCCACCACCACCGCATCCCCACACCACACACACCCCATCCACAGCCTCTCTCCCCTCCACTCCGCACACCACAAGGCCGCCCACTGGAACATCATTCAAGACCACCAGCACCGCTACAACATCACCGCACCCCCACACCACACACACCCCATCCACGGGCTCTCTCCCCTCCACGACACACACCAGGGGGCCACCCACTGAGATGTCATTCAAGACCACCAGCATCACCCCATCAGCACCAAACCATCACACCACACTTCCCGCTCACGTTCCATCAAGCTCTACTTCCTTGGTCACTCAAACAGCTCACCAAGGCAGCACCACAACACACTCAGAGATTCCCACCACCTCGATGCCAAAGTCTACGCCCACCAGGCGCCCAACTACAACAGTGAAGGAAACAGGCTCAACCTCACCGTTCACTGTGACCAACCAACCCATGAGTCCCTTCACCACAGCCAAAACCTCTTCCTCCCAGCACTCACAAACTGCCTCCACATCCCACCACCAGCCCACTGCTTCCAATGCTACCACCATCACCCCCAGGCTGACCACTTCAGACACTGGGCCTACCATGGTCAAGAGCACCACTTCCGCCAATAACCGTCCACACACACCTCTCATGACAAACTCTCCATCCACGGGCTCTCTCCCCCACACTCCACACACTACAAGGCCCCCCTCAGGAACATCCTTCAAGACCTCCAGTACCGCTCCAACACCAACACGCCCCCACACCATACTTTCCACTTACATTCCATCAAGCTCTACTTCCTTGGTCACTCAAACAGCTCACCAAGGCAGCACCCCAACACACTCAGAGATTCCCACTTCCAACTCCACACTAACATCTACGTCCACCAGGCTCCCAATTACAACACTGAAGGCCACAGGCTCCACCTCACCGTTCACCACGACCAGCCTATCCTCGAGCCCCTTCAGCACAGCCAAAACCTCCTCCCAGCACTCACAAACTGCCTCCACATCACACCACCAGCCCACCACTTCCACTGCCACCACCATCACCCCAAATTTTACCACCTCTGCCACTGGACCTACCATGCTCCAAAGCACCACCGCAAACAGCCATCCACACACGCGCCACACCACACATGCTCCCACCACCAACTCACTCCCCTCCACTCCATACACTACAGGGCCACCCTTTGGAACATCCTTCAAGACCACTAGCACTGCTCCAAAACCATCACACCCCCACACCACACTTCCCACTCACATTCCATCAAGCTTTACTTCCTTGGTCACTCAAACAGCTCACCAAGCCAGCACCCAAACACACTCAGAGATTCCCACTTCCAACTCCACACTAACATCTACACCCACCAGGCTCCCAGCTACAACACTTAAGGCCACAGGCTCAACCTCACCATTCACTGGGACCAGCCAACCCCAGAGCCCGTTCACCACAGCCAAAACCTCTTCCTCCCAGCACTCACAAACTGCCTCCACATCCCATCACCAATCCACAGCTACCTACGCCACCACCATTACCGCCGAACTCACCACCATAACCCCTAAGCTAACCACTTCTGACAATGGACCTACCATGCTCCAGAGCACCACTCCCACCAATAGCCTTCCACATACTCCTCACACCACACACTCACCATCCACAGGCTCTCTCCCCTCCATACCACACACAACGGGGCCACCCTTTGGAACATCCTTTAAGACAACCAGCAGCACTGTTCTAACACCACCACATCCCCACACCACACTTTCCACTCACGTTCCATCAAGCTCTACTTCCTTGGTCACTCAAACAGCTCACCTAGGCAGCACCACAACACACTCAGAGATTCCCACTTCCAACTCCACACTAACATCTATACCAACGAGGCTCCCAATTACAACACTGAAGGCCACAGGCTCTACCGCACCATTGACTGGGACCAGCCAACCCCAGAGCCCGTTTACCACAGCCAAAATCTCTTCCTCCCAGCACTCACAAACTGCCTCCACATCCCACCACCAAACCACAGCTACCCATGCCACCACCATCACCCCCAAACTCACCACCATCACCCCTAAGCTAACCACTTCTGACAATGGACCTACCATGTTCCAGAGCACGACCCTGACCAATAGCCTTCCACACACTCCCCACACCACACACTCACCATCCACAGGCGCTCTCCCCTCCACACCACACACTACGGGGCCACCCTCTGGAACGTCCTTCAAGACCACCAGCACCGCTCCAACACCACCACATCCCCACACCACACTTCCCACTCACGTTCCATCAAGCTCTACTTCCTTGGTCACTCAAACAGCTCACCAAGCCAGCACCCAAACACACTC